GGCTCTCTCTCTCTCTCTCTCTCTCTCTCTCTCTCTCTCTCTCTCTCTCTCTCTCTCTCTCGGGCTCACTCTCTCTCATTCTCTCTCTCTCTCTCTCTCTCTCTCACACACACACACACACACACACAAACACACTCACACGCACGCACACTTTCTCGTGCTCTGTCGTTCCCTCTAGTGGCCTGTGTCCTGTGCTCTATGCCCTATCAGGCTTGGACTCTCAGGGGCTTTGTGCTTTCTTGGACGCCGGGTTGAATTGAGGACAACTGGCCCAATCAGCCACAGGCTAGCTTGCAACGGTGCCAATGAAAATGGTCAGAGCAATGGCAAATACAGGCAATCTCGGAAAAATACTTGGCGCCTAGGAACAAAAACAAAGCCCAAGAGAGAACTCTCTCGAAGTCACTTATCAATGGAGCTAGATACGTAAAAGTGTACGGATATGGGTTTAACGCCCCTATTAAACCTTTTAGGTTATTTAAGAGGCAGGACCTCCGAGGATAACGTTTATCTCCAAAAGGTCTGAGCTATACGTGCAGAGAGCCTTGAAAACTCCACTGAACGAACCGAGTTTTAGAAAAAAAAAGCCCAGTCTGAGATTCGAACCAGGTCTATCTGCTCCATAGTCCAGCATGATACCAGTTGAGCTAAGGGACTGACAGACCCGGACATGAGTGGTACCACAAATTCGTTAATTTGTACTGATGTCACAGATGTTACACACCTAGCACAGGACCGAAACCTGCACCCCCCCCCTTCCACCCTCGACATCCTAGGGATACCAGAGAGGGGAAAAAGGGGTTTAAGTAAAGTTAAGATGTCACTGTACTGCACATTTTGTTTTTGCTGTCGAAAGGGTGGACAAGAATGACAGCTAAGGAGGAGAAGGAACGTACAGTAGGTGCGTTGTGCGCGCGTGCGTACGCGCATACGTGCGTGCTTATGTGCGTGTATGCGTGTGTGCTTGCGAACGTGTGTGGGTGCGTGCGTGCGTGTTTGTGTGTGTTTGTGTGCCTGCTCGCATTCACGCGCGCGCTGTGCTTGAGTGCGTTCGTGCGTACGTGCGTGCGTGCTCGCGTGCGTTCGTTCGTTCATGAGTGCGTGGATACGTACATTCATATATACATTCATACATACAAATATTCATACATTTATTATAAACGACATAACCTCACTTCAGAGTATTCTATGTGATTGGAACCCGATTTCTCTATGCCCTCAGGCAGGCACAGTAACTAGTGCACAGCGAGAGTCTCATGAGTGTTGGCGACAATGGGGGAAATTAGGGTAATGGAAGCTACAGCTGGAGAGTGCAGGGCAAAGTCGCAGAAGACTGTCAGAAATACTCGTAACAAAGGCAAAACAAATATGAACGTTTTTTTAAAGTGCATGTGTATTCGTGTGTGCGTACTTGATAACCATGCGTGCA